CTTATTAAAGTAGTTAAAGTAGAAAGCTTAATATTATATAGTATATAATACTTATATAGCTTATTTAGTAAGTATTAAGTTAGTATTATTTTAGTAAAGTATCTTAATAGTAAAGATTAAAAAAAATAATTAAAAAAAACATAGTTTTAGGTTATAGTATAGTCTTAAAAAGGATATTTTTTAGTAGTAAAACGAGAAAAACGTAACTTTTATATAACTAGCTAGAAACCCCCTTTTTTAAGTGGAAACCCTGTTTTTTCGCTCCCTATGTGAGTAGGGGGTGTTTTGCGCTTGATGTGGCTGACTAACGCCCCTGGGTAGCTATGGAAGGCCCTACCTAGGGTGAGGACCGTAAGGTAGCAGTGACCTCATCAGCCATAGGTGCGTATTTGGCCAGCTCAGAGCCAGCATACCTTGGGTTACCTATCCGGTGCCAAAAGCCATAGTCAGGATGTTCACCTCGCCATACGGGTTTCTTACTCAAGACCCCAGAGGTTATTAATCAAAACGTCTTTGGGCGAGACGGTGATGGTTGTCGGGATGCTTGTGCGTTCAGGCGCCAGCTCTCGGGGGCGCGCAGTGCCGTTTGATTGATTCCAAGAGCCCATTCACTGGTGAGGTGCGAGGTAAGGTACGGTAGGTGCAGGTACAGGCCGAGTGCAGGCACAGGCGCAGCGAGCACAGGTGCTCTGGTGCGTAAGGTAGTCGTGTCTCCGCTCGCCAAGTCGCATTACGCAGCACCCTTCGCCGCTCATACTGGGGCACTGCTAGAGGCGTGACACTCTCCATTCGCAAACCAAACTTGACTTTTGGCCTGACCTGTCATCTATCCAACTTATCTGTAATCACCTTACCCCAACCTTCCCGACACCGTGTATCCAAACATCGTGCCTGTGCCCGATTTTTGGCCATCGGCACTCCTAGCAAAACAGGCAAGTCGGACCGTTTTTACCATATCGCGATTTGCGTGCTGTACAGGATTGAGAGGAAGCTCTGCCCTGCCAAGCCGCCTTGCCGTGTCATTCGGCATCGCCTCTGCCCTCTTGCCGCCATTCTTCTTCCACTTGCCTCTCTCCCGCCCCCTCTACCCTCCCACGACTGAGCGTCTCGACCCATTCAATCATTCACTCGTTCACCTCCTTCCGGGTTACAAGTGATCGACTAACAAGGGTGCTCAATTTCCCACAGGCGTCCAGTAACAACTGCCTTGGCCTCTGCAACCAGGCCCGCTTGCGACGCCGAGCGCCCCATCAACGGTCATTTCGATTACTCGTGGGACCAGCCCAAAAGGTATTTCGTCAACCACAATCTCCATCGTCGACGAACTGCCGACCGCAGTTCCTCTCCGTCTCCAGCTACGTTGTAATATTGCGGTTCTTGCTGACCGCATCGATCTTGCTGCCTTCAGCACCCAAACATCTTCGGCGAACACAGGTGACCTTGTCCGTCCGCCGGCGATTCGCCTGCGTTGGGCCCAAGCGCTTTCTCGCCCGACTGCGCTTGGTAACTTGCGCACTCTAGAACCTGTCGGAAGGCTATCTTGCCGACTTCTTTCTCATCGGCCTCCCGACGCTCCCGACAGTTCACCGGAACATCCTACCAACGGCCCCGATATCGCTCAACAGTCTATTGCCTCGTTTACGAAGGGAGCTTAATTGGCCATTGCCTGCCATCAAATTACGATAGAAACCAGCCGTCAAAATGTCCAAAGTCATCCGCAGTGTCAAAAATGTGACCAAGGGCTACTCAAGTGTCCAAGTCAAAGTCCGAGAAGGTGCGTCCTACACCGCGTCATTCCATTTGAGTACACTTGTGGCCAGTGGCTAACTATCATCTTCTGTCTAGCCACCAGTAATGATCCATGGGGTCCGACGGGCACTCAGATGAGTGAAATCGCTCAGCTGACATACAACACGTGGGTTTTCTCCCTGCCCATGAACCAGGCGTCGCATTAATGGTTATCTACAGATCGACCGAGTTTTACGAGATCATGGATATGCTAGACAAACGTCTTAACGACAAGGGCAAGAATTGGCGACACGTTTTGAAAGCCCTGAAGGTGCTTGACTATTGCCTGCATGAAGGGTCTGAGCTTGTCGTTACGTGGGCGAGACAAAGCATCTACATTATTAAGACACTGCGCGAGTTCCAGTACATTGATGAAGACGGCAGAGATGTTGGCCAAAACGGTATGGTTCTTTTATTGAGCAGATTCTATCGTGTATTCGTTGACTAACTGGGCGGACTAGTCCGCGTTGCTGCAAAGGAACTGACCGCGCTCATCCTGGACGAAGAACGGCTACGGGCTGAGAGAAGTGACCGCAAGTCATGGAAATCTCGCGTCACCGGCCTTGAGGAGTTCGCACCTCAGCAGATGGGACCCACGCAGCCGCGGCCTCATCGTCGTCAAAGCAATGAGGACGACACGGAGTACAGGCTCGCCATTGAGGCCAGTAAGCACCAAGAGGAGGAGGATCGTAGAAAACGCGCGAGCCGCGCTGCAAACGAAGCCGAGGACGATGACCTTGCCAAGGCTATCAAGCTTAGCAAAGAAGAGGACGAGCGACGTCGGCGAGAGATGGAGGACAGCAACGCGTCTTTGCTATTCGACGACACACCGACGCAATCGACGCAGCCACAGTACACTGGGTTCAACCAAGGTTATCAGCAGGGTAGTGCTGTTGATTTCTTTGCCAATCCCATCGATCAAAGTCAGTTGCAGCCGCAGCCCACAGGCTTCATGCCGAATGCCTATACGGGATACCAGCAACCGCAAGCGACTGGATTCCAGAACGGTTACGGCGGCGGCTTCGGAATGCCACAACAGGGCATGAATATGGACCCTTACGGGCAACAACAGAGTATGCAGGGATTCCAGCCTCAGCCGACAGGCTACAATCCGTACGCCCAATCACAAGTTCAAAGCCCTGCTCCTCAAGAGCCTGTCGCACAACCAGGAAGCAACAACCCTTGGTCGACAGGCACCATGAAGGCGGGGAACCCCATGAAGCCTATGCAAACAGGGTCGAACAATCCATTCGCATCATCATTTGGTCGCCCGCAGCCTCAAAGTCAGCCTCCCATGCCAGCGATGCCATCTCTTGGCAGTCTTCCGGAACAAAAGACACTCTCGACGTTCAACCAACCACAGCCCAGTTTCAACCAGCCGAACCAGGGATCTGCTGCCTTTGGCGCTCCGCAGAAGGAGTTGACGGAGCATGAGGCGAAGTTGAATGCACTGCTTGCTGGTGGTGATGGCATGGATACATTCGGCAACACGGGTCAGACGCGTATCCCAGCACAACACACAGCGCCTGGGACATTCGTCAATAGTGCTGGAGCAGGTGCCAATCGCCTGACAGCGGAAGCGACGGGAAGCAATCCATTCGTTCGATCCCAGTTTACCGGTATGCCCAATATATCATATGGTGCTCAGATGCCTGCCGCGACAGGACCGGCGGGAATCAATGGTAGCAACAATCCTTTTGCAGCGACTCGGCCGCAACAGCAGAACACCCAGGCGCAAGACCTCATACAATTTTAGTCCCTTTTGTCTTTTTCTTCTTTTCTGCTTTCGGGTCGATTGTACGGAGTGCGCCAGGAAGATGTGCGGCCGGCAACTGCTGCATACGTGTGATTGGCGTTATCAGAACAGGCTGCAGGTAGCGCGATGAGGAAAATCAGATTATCATTCGTATCGCATCGTATCTTACACACGTTCTCTTATTTAGAGGTTTGGCGTGGGATAAATTTTCTTACTCTTATTGGGGTGTGGTCCCCTCCTTCTGAGGCCAAAATCTCAAAAATCCATGCTGTTTATCACTCTTATTGTTACTTGGCTGTCTGTCTCTCTCCCTCTCCGTCTCTCTCTGCTATCTGGATTTGCGGTTAGTGATCTTTTCGTGGTCATCAGCTACTCGTCGTCATGTTTTGCGATACCTTGTGCGCATAGTGAAGGGTTCCCACTGGGGAGAGAGGACGGTCTGTAATGGTTATTGTGTAAGTAAATTGCAGAGTCAGGCCAGATAACATGCATGCAGGTTGTGGAGATTCATGGTGACGGTTGTAGAGCTATTGGTTGCCACGCTCGCATGGCCTGTGAAGTCGCTGGTAATGTGTAATTGTAAATATAGCTAAGGTACCTTTGGTCAGTTGAGGCAGGATGAAGCTGGACATGAACGCTCCTGCTCCTGCCTGAACTTCGCTGGCAGCTTTGCTATTGGCTCAGCCGGCAAGCTCTTTTGTCTGGCCCAATCACAGGACATTGCTATCCTCAGGCAGCAACGTCGAGTAGCTACCTACGCCAGGTAGATGCTCTAGGTCTCCACTTGAATGGTCGAAAATTACCTTACTAAGCCAGTACGTGCCTAGGACTCAGAACGCCCAGTGAAGGCGACGGCATTCCGCCCAAGTTCATAAAGAGTAGCAATCCCTTTGCTTGCACCTCACTCATCACGGACAACAATCTGCGTATTCGACCACTCTCTTCTAACTGACTGTTCATCTGTAACATCGAGAGTAGTTTTGCTGCTTCTAGGTGATTACCCATCTCCATCGCGGCTCAGCTCTTCTTTACCCTGCCCGGTTTGATTGGTTGCCGCCCCACCCCCGGTCCCTCTGGCTTGATACAGTACTTCTGTACCTTCCTGCAAGCGACGCGCTGTAGCATCCCTTCTACCCACCCCAGCCATTTTTTCTCCACGTACCTCTTCTTTCTATTTCGTGCCTTTGCGCGACACCCAAAGGGAGAAAAATCTCCTCGACCAGCTGTATACAACACCACAGCTTCCCACGTCACGTCGCCAACCTATCCGCCCAACGCGCCCACCGGTCATCAACACCGACGGCCGTTCGATCCGACCGCACTGCATGACCGTCCATAATTGATTGTAGGCGACTTCACCTGCGTCCGCGACTCAGATCCCCTAGTGCGCGTTCTCGCACTCATTCTTCTCATCCTCAACCTCAGCACCAACAGTCGCTGCTAGCCTGCATCCATCATGTCTGGCTTTGGCAGCGGCAGCTTTGGCGGCTTTGGCCAGAGCAACAACCAACAGTCAACTGGCTTTGGCGGCTTCGGAGCCAACAACGCGACCAGCACCAGCACAGGTAAGGCAAAACTTGCGTCGTCGCAACCACCAGCGATTCTGTCGCAAAGCTTCATTCAGACTAATCAACCATCCCCACTAGGCTTTGGATCTGGTACTGCTACGAACAGCGCCTTTGGGTCTACCAATAATACCAACACGAGTGGTGGCCTTTTTGGCAACACTACTGGTGCCTTTGGCGGTGGTGGCACCTCTTCAAGTGAGTTTTACATCCGACATGCTCTTTTTATCTGCATTGAGCAGTATACTAATTATCCATTACCCTAGGTGGTTTCGGTTCTAACACCAACACAACCTTCGGAGCCTCAAAACCTGCTTTCGGAGCTTCTACGTCTACTGGAGGCGGCCTTTTCGGCTCCAACAACAATAATAATACCAACACTACTACCCCTTCTTCTGGGTTTGGAGGCTTTGGCGGGAATGCAACTGCAAGTACGTCATCTCCCTTTGGAGGATCTGGCGGAAATCTGTTCGGCGCCAGCAAGCCTGCCTTTGGCTCCACGACGAACAACACCACCACTGCCACCGGCACCACGTCCTTGTTCGGCGGAAACTCTGGCACCGGCTTCGGTGGCAACGCCGCCACCACTGGAGGCTTTGGCGCATCCCTAAACCCGGGCATCGGTTCAAATGTTGGCGACCCTCCTGGCACGGCCATCACACCGTTCCAAGCGCACCAGGAAAAGGAAACTGCCGGAGCTGGAAATCAGTCAAACGCGTTCCAAAACATTCTCTTCCAAGAACCGTACAAGAAATGGTCTGCGGAAGAGCTGAGACTGGCTGACTACGCACAGGGACGTCGTCATGGTAATGCTAGCGGAGCAGGCGCCTTTGGTGTTTCCAACTTTGGCAGCACCGGCTTCGGTGCGACAAACCAGCAGTCTGCAGGTTTTGGATCGGGTGCTTCGACCGGAGGTGGCTTGTTCGGCGGTGCCAACAACAACACGAGTACGACGACGGCCACGACCACCGGTTTCGGCGGTGGTTCCGCTGGGGGGTTCGGATCCGGAGGCGGTCTGTTCGGCAACCAGCCCAAGCCAGCTACTGGAGGCCTGTTCGGAGGCGGCAACACGACAACATCCCAGCCCGCTCAGTCGGGCGGGCTGTTTGGCACAAGTTCAGGAGGTGGATTCGGTACCACAAACACGACCAGTGGATTCGGGTCCACTAACAATAATGCTACCGGAGGAGGACTCTTTGGATCGAACAATACCGCTGCGAACCAAGCCAAACCCGGCGGCTTTAGTTTCGGCAACACCGGGGCCACGACCGGTGGATTCGGTGCGAGTAACACGACCAGCGCATTTGGTTCGAACAACACCACCAATAATACGGGCACTAGCGGCGGGTTATTCGGCAACGCTGGCCAGTCCAATGGAACTGGACTTTTTGGCAACAACCAAGCCCAAAGTCAGCAGCAAGGAACTGGATCAGTCTTTGGCGGAGGTGGGTTTGGCGCGCAGAACCAGCAGCAAGCGGGCTCGTCTCTATTCGGCAACCAGCAAAAGCCGGCCACGGGCGGCGGTGGTCTTTTCGGAGGAGGTGGAACGTCGACTACCGGCGGACTCTTTGGCGGTGGAGGCGCCCCTAACAACTCCTTTGGCGGAGCAGGCACGAACAACTCAAGTGGCGGTCTCTTTGGATCCAAGCCCGCTGCTACAGGTGGTCTGTTTGGATCCAATGCGGCAAGTCAAGGCACGAACGCTGGCGGGGGTCTGTTTGGCGGTATGGGCACAAATCCCCAGGCGCAACAGACAGGCCAATCTTCTCTCTTCGGTGCCGCCGGTCAGAACCAGGCAAAGCCCGGTCTGTTTGGTACTTCACAGCCCGCCGGCAACAGCTTGTTTGGTGGACAGAACACCCAACAGCAAGGCTCTTTGTTTGGCGGCAATAACGCACAGCAACAGCACCAAGGCTCTATTCTCGGTGGCTCCGTCATGGGCAATACTCAAGGAATCAACTCAGGCCCTCAGTCGCTGACAGCCAACATCACTGATGTTTCGGCCTTCGGGTCGCCGTCCTTGTTCTCCAATCTCTCAGGTGCTGAGACGCCTAACCCAGGACCATTGGCCACGCCCCTGTCTAGCAAGTCAAAGCCGAGACGCAGCTCCATCCTTCCGATGTACAAACTCAACCCTGCCTCCGCTGCCCGCTTTGTCACCCCTCAGAAGCGTGGGTTCGGATTCTCATACAGCACATACGGCACTCCTGGCGGTAGCCCATCCAGCGCCGCTAGCACTCCGGGAGGAGCCAGCCGCAGCCTGTTGGGGTCGTCGAGCCTCAATCGAAGCTTAAGCAAGAGCGTGTCGACTAGCAACCTGAGGAGAAGCTTCAATGCCGAAGATAGCATCCTCGCGCCTGGCGCTTTCTCGGCTAGCTCTGGACCGCGCTACTATGGGAGCAACGGCAGCGTCAAGAAGCTGATAATCAACAAAGACATGCGTAGCGACCTATTCTCTACGCCGACCAAGGACAAGCCGTCTGCAGATCAATTGAATGGGTCTCGGAAATTGGCGAAGCGCGTAAGCTTTGACACCAGCAACGTGGAGGCCCCGGAGGCTGACGATGTTGAACCCACCAACGCCTCGACGCCCAGGAGTGTTCTTCCCCAAGACTTGACTACTGCTAGCATCAGTGTCAACGGATCAAAGCCCCCTACCGGAGACCCGGAACAGGTCAAGGGCAAAGAACTCGCCATCGTTCATGAAGAAGACGTTTCGTCTCAGATACCGGAAGTGGCAAACGATGGTCTCGATAAGGCCCCTGGCTCATACTGGATGAGCCCTACCAAAGAGACTATCGCTGGCATGACTAGAATGCAGCGGCAGAGAGTTGAAAGCTTCACCGTGGGAAGAGATAACGTTGGATCTGTCAAGTTCAAACCCGAGGTTGATTTGACCAACATTGACCTCGATGAAATATTCGGAGGGATCGTCATTCTCGAAACCCGCTCTGCGACTGTATATCCTATCGCCGCCAAGAAACCTCCTGTTGGCAAGGGCTTGAATGTCCCTGCTCTGATCTCCTTGGAGCAGTCCTGGCCACGGGGTAGAGAGAAGCGCCCTGGCCATGATGTCAAGCGAGTTGCCAAACATGTCGAACGTCTCAGGCGCATCGAGAACACCACTTTCGAAGAGTACAACCCCGATACTGGCGTTTGGAAATTCTCGGTCGAGCACTTCACTACGTATGGTCTGGACTACGACGAGGACGAAGAAGAACCCGAACAGTCGGATGATGTCTTGGTTCGCGACAACCAAAGGCACGGCGCCCTTCCCCAGCTACGTTCTCGTGACTCCGAGGCAAGCCCTGGGGAGAATGACACATTCGACTTTCGCAGAAACAAGCGACGCGCTCTCCCTGGTGCTTTTGAAGAGAGGGATGAAGAGTACACGGAAGAAGAGCATGATGATCTTGCACGTCCGTTCCAACCCCAGTCTTTTTTAGAAGATAGCTTCGCGGGTTCGACCTCGAACGCTCTGGTTCTCTCAACGGAAGATGAACCGGTTGACGAACATGATGTCGAATATGGTATGTCTGAGGATGAGGATACGGCGGGAACTCACTTCAGACGCCATCTTGCCGCGGAGCAGACAATCGACTCGCCAGATGGTGACATGGTTGCCCCAGCCAGCGAAACTCCCGGAGGCATTCTGCGAGCCAGAATGCGAGCGCTGAAGGGTTCAGCCACTCCTATCAAGCTGCAAGTTGCCGGAGGAGACGAATGGATGAATATGCTGCAAAGATCCGTTAGCCCTCAGAAGAGAGACCGAACGTTCTTGCGAAGTGTGAATGAGATAGCATCGCGATCGCACGCGGCAGAAACAGAGATGGGCCAAAAGGGGCGTGTTGTGTCAGACGGACGCGGTTTTGCGACGAGCATCGATTTGATGAACTCGCTGTTTGAGAAGGCCAAGGCTCCCACCGCCGCGCCCTCGAGAGGATTTGTTCAGGTTGGTGAATACTTCATGGTCTAGGGACCCCCCTCTCATTCGCTGTTCGTCGTTCGGGCCAGAATGCCACGCGGCTTTGTGTAATTAATTTTGAGATCTTACTGAGGCAAATTTTCGTCTAGTGGCCCTATGAACGACAGACGAAGTCCTTTGCTGACCAGTCCAATATGAGTGAAGCTGATCGCTCCTTCCACAACGCCATGAGACCAAGCTGGGGACCAGATGGAACTCTGATCTTTGCAACGACTCGGGAGCCTCTTGGTGCACCACCCAGGCGCTCCAAGACGGATGATCTCATGTTGACGAAGAACGTTGTTCAAGCGCGGGGACGATTTATTGAGGCGGCCAAATTCTCCAATGAGGCAAGTCAAAGGGGAACGAGATAATGGCATGGTTCATGGAGCTAACTGGTCCCAGGCTTCTGCAAAGGCTCTCAAGAATCAGGTGAAGATGACGCAAGTAGAGCTCACTGAGGGCGTACCCGAAACGACTCTACATGCCGACACCCTCATGTCTCTTTTTCACGACCAAGATACCACCAGCCCTGCCAACGCACATGAAAGGTTGGTTTGGGAGCTCGCCAGCATTCTTTTCGACGGACCCGCCTCTGCCGATGAAGATCTGGGGAACGAATCTCGAAAGAGTCGTTTGTCCAAGTTTTGGGCGGCGCTCGTTGATTCTGCATCATCTCGATCGGTTGCGCTTGCAAGGTCTAGCGAAGAGAAGGCTATTGCAGCTTTGTCAGGGCACCGCATCCAAGACGCGTGCAAGTACCTCTTGGATGGGAACAACTTTCGCCTCGCAACCTTGGTCTCGCTGATTGGCAGCAATGATCAGGCTAAAAAGGACATGCGCGAACAAATTGACGAGTGGCAAGACGCCAACTTTCTTTCCGAGTTTGCCGACCCCCTACGCGCCATTTATGAATTGCTGAGCGGCAATTCAGGCGTGTGCGAGGGAAAGAAAGCAGTACCTCTCGAAGACCGCATTGAGTCGTTCGTCATCTCACAGCGTTTTGGCCTAGATTGGAAGCAGGCCTTTGGGCTCAGGCTCTGGTATTCTATTTCACGCAATGATCACCTTTCGGCAGCCGTTCGTCTGTTCCGGGAAGACATAACTCAAGACAGAGAACAGCGTCCTCAGACATGGTATCTTGAACAAGGCATACCGGCACTCTGGAACGATCGACGTTCAGAAGCTCGCGAAGACCTTCTGTGGGGTCTCCTGAAGCTGTATTCAGATGCCGAGACTGACTTGGAAGCTGTACTGCGACCGGAGAATAGTCAGCTATCGCCTCTAGACATTCGGCTGTCTTGGCAGCTCAGTCGCGCCCTGCTATCCACAAATAAGGTATCCTACGGCCATAACGCATCTGAGAAGGCCGATGCTTCGACCATCGCTTTTGCCGACCAGCTCGTCAGCGAAGGAAGCTGGCTGGAAGCCACGTTTGTCTTGCTACATCTCGGCAACCCAGACATGCGAGCGAAGGCTGTGCAGGAGAATCTTTGTCGGCATGCGGCCCTACTGGGATCCGAGACGGGGACCAATTTCACAACTCTTACGCAGACACTCAAGATACCGCCTTCTTGGATCTGGGAAGCTCAAGCCCTGTATATGAGAGCTGTCAAGAAAGACGCGGCAGCCGAAGTACATTGTCTACTCCGAGCCGGTTCGTACCCAGAGGCACACAATGTGCTCGTTCACCAGGTCGCGCCATCGGCGGTTGTGAGCCGCGATTACGACGAGCTGGCGGTTACTCTCTCCCGTTTCGAAGGCCACGACCATGTCATTCCTGGTTGGACCCTCGGAGGTGAGGTCTACAAGGCCTTTTTGGAGCTCGTGAGCCGCCGGAAGCAACGGCAGCAAATTTCCATACAGGTGCTCGATGGGCTTCTGTCCGGCCTGCCAGCTCTGCGAGAGAATGCTGAGAGTGGAAATATAACCAGTCTGGCAGCAATATCTGAGATGGGTTCACTCGTGGCTAAGGTGATGGCGGAAGTACCGAGACACGATCGGGTAAGATCTCTCTCTAATATCAGTCTTGTATCAATGGCCAGGCTAACATGTTGCAGGATAATGCCACTCGAGTATTGAGCCTTCCCCTCACTGAAGACGCCCATCTCAAGCATGCGCTTAACATGAGCCTTTCCTACTACCAAGGCTTAATGGCGGGGGGCAGATGATGCATTGCGGATGGGGTTTGAGACATGGTTCACTGGGTATGGCGAGCGGCATGGTATTTCGACTGCCCCACGAGAAATTTTTACGGGCATTCATGTGTTTTTGTGTTGTCTTAGTATTCACACTCTGATTCCAGAGCATAATTTGTATTGGAACATTCAATCAGCATGCGGCTATAAGTTGCCGTTGTTTCTTATTGTCAACGCAGCCGCGTTTTCTTACTCTCCTTCTTTCCGGTGACCCCAGAAGCCTTTTCCGTAGCTCACAAGAACCTCATCGCCCTTGGCAATACCGCCTTTCCCGCGGCCATTCTTCCCTTCGGACAGTACAAACACAGCCATACATCTTTGCTTGAATCTGTGACACCAGACCTCACGAAACTCGGCATTTGGTCGCTGGGCAATGCCTCGGTAATCGTTTATGAATCTGGCCTCATTGCCGCCCGTGCTGGCGTCAACGGCAATCTCGGCGTCCCTGTCCAGCCATAGATCGTAGTCGGACTTGGATGGCGAGTCTGGATGGACCGTTCCGAGGTAAGGAATGATGAAAGCGCCTGGTTTAAGATGCCGGGCGGCAAAGAGACCGCATTGGCCTCTCGCCGGATGGACGCTCTCAAAAATGGGAGTGATTTTGACCAAAGGACTCGGTAATGCCGTGTCTTGCACCTGAACTTCAGGAAGCCCTGCTGTCTTTTGTGTTATCGTCTGTCGCTGCGGTTCGCTAAGTGAACGGCAGTGGACTGGCGCCGTGAGATAGACTAGCCCTGTCGGCCAGTTCTTGGGCTGTACCACCACCATGCCGGCATCTGGGCAAAGTGTATGTCCCGAAGCCCTTGATGTCGCTGAAGACCAAAGTCAGAAAATCCCCAGGCACGAAGATACGATGCTGAGCCAGCTAATGTGGCCCGAGCTCGGACTCAGTCTCGTCCCTGATGGCTGACATAATCGAAGGAGTTCTAGGTGCCCGGTCTCCGAAAAAAATTTCTCCCAGCCCGTGACGTTGTGTACAATACGAATACCTGCTGAGGAGCAAGGTAGGTAGGTAGCCCTGACACTGGTGGCGCCCCACGTGGAGTTCCCCCGAAACCTGAGCCGACTGAGGTCCCCATGGTCCCAAGGTCAAAAACTCCAGCGTGTCTCCGGATCAATCAACGCCTTTCCAACCTCTATCGGCAGCCTGGTTCTTCCTCTTCCGTCCACCAGATCGCCCTCTAAGCAGATCCATCACGAAGTCCGCGTCGGATTATTTATTTTCTGGAAGAGAGCAGAGGTCAGTCAGCCCAATTACTTGCCAACCCCCACGCGCATTGCCGCCAAGCTGTTGTTCCGTCTGCATTGCACCTTGCCTGGAGATGGATGCTGCAGAGATGCCCATTTTTGTCGCAATGTTTCGACCGCGTCAACAACAACGCGTCCAACCGTTCACCTTCGTGGCTTGATCGAGCTTCAAGCCGGAGCTGGACCTGGACGTGTAGCTGTCGCGGGACAGAAAAACAGAAAAGAAATTACAAGCGCAGACAGAGGAAGAGTGCCGAGTGCACCTCGGAAGAAACCTGTACTAAAGCATGTAAATTTCTGCAGAGAACATCAATTGAAGTCGCCCTGCCCTCCAGGACTCGACGCGTCGTCCCGCAACGGACTGCCGACGTGTTTGTGGATGCGCAAACCCGAGTTGCCCTTTGACACACGAGTCTTTCGATTTTTGATCTGGAGCCTGCGCGCCTGCGTCCATTGTCGCATCATACGCGCGATACCGACGGGCGCCCTCTAACGTTTGTCAGCGCCGCTCTCCGCGGAAGCCCCATCAACCACAGATCAAGCGCTACAATCGAATACAAGTTGCCATGAGCTCAATTCGGGAAGGCGAGACAGAGGAGGAAAGACTCCACACGCAAACCCTTCAGGATGAGGGTCTTGCCACAGAGGGAAGGATTCCAGAGGACCATGTGTCGGAAGAGCGCATGCCAGAGGATCGAATGCAAGATGATCGTATGCCAGAGGATGGGATGACTGATGGTCGCATCCCGGAGGAGAGAATGCAGAGCTATCCATCACCCACAGTCGATGCTCAGGATGCCGGCCCATACTATCATTCAGCTGCCAGAGACGATTCTCAACAGGAACCTCCTCCCCCGCCCACGCCCCAGCAACAGCCGCCTCACTCCGCCAGCGTGGAAGAGCTGCAGCTGGCTGCTCAGCTCGGCCAGGATCTGGCCGCCGAGCCCATGATGCACGTCACAGATCCTAGCATGAATGTCGAAGACCCCAATCTACGGAGCATCATGCCACACCCTGAGCAGCCTCAGCACCAGCCTCCTTCCCGACCCTATGTGCCCGAGGAAACCTTGCCGGACTCCCTTCCTCAGCATGTTTCTGTTCCTGTTCCAATGGATCACCACCACCTATCCCAGACCTATGCTCTGGGAGACAGCACTCCGCCAAGGAAGCGATCCAAAGTGTCTCGTGCTTGCGACGAATGTAGGAGAAAGAAAGTCAAGTGTGATGCCCAGTCGGACTCTGGAGACAACCCATGCTCCAACTGCAAGCGGTCTGGAATTCGTTGCTTGTTCAGCCGTGTCCCTCAGAAACGCGGTCCTAGCAAGGGGTAAGTTTAGTAGGCATTAGCCTCTTAGCAGTCGCTGACTGGATGTGATTAGCTATATCAAAGAGTTAGCCGACAGAATCAACAGTATTGAGGGCAAGCTGGAGATTCAAAGTAAGTTTGCGAGGTTTCGATAGCAAATGCCACTGTAACTAACTAATATTTGCAGGTCCTGGCGAAGATGCCAGCCGGAAGCGGCCCTTCTCGAGTATATCCAGTGCGGACTTGTCCACTCCAGCACCCACGAGACAGACTGCCTGGGGTGCTGAGCATCGTCCTCTTCAACCTATGACAACTCCGTCCGACAAATACCAGTCCTCTCCCTTTTCCACCAATGGCCTGGCTCCCCAGCCCCTACCCATTAAGAATGACATGCAGCCGCGGCCGCCGGTGGCTCCGATGGACGGTCCTGTTGCCGAGTTGCCCGACATCGATCAGCCGCGCGACGTAGATGATGCCGTATTTGATGGGTGAGTTTTCTGTCGCCGCCCGAAGGCCTTGGATCTGTGGTTTCCGTTGCTGATCTCGAACCTTAGGTACATCAACATCATCCATCCTTATCTTCCAATCCTTCCAAGCAGCAGAGCTCTCATCCAGGATTACCTGGCACAGTGTCCTGGCCTTCTTCGCGAAGCGTTTGTCGAAGCTCTTTCCGGTACCATGCACTCGTACCCGACTTTTCAATCTGGAAATCCAGGCGATGTCCGGCTTGCCCACACCCTGCTTGTTGAATGGGAGGCCGGCGACTCGGCCTCGCGCAGTCCTGCAGCTAACATCGTCTTCCTCCAAACACTGCTCCTCATGATCATTGAAGCGGACAATCGGCAACTGGGTTCCATCGGTGCGCCGAAGGAGTCGCTCCTAGGTAGAGCAGTAGCAGGTGCCAATGCTCTGAAACTGTACCAGTCCAAGTTGGAGCCATCCGAAGCTGAGTTTGGAGTAGACACGGACAGCCAACTCCGAGTCAGAATTTGGTGGTCACTTGTCCTCCTTGATCGATGGCACGCAGTGGGAACAGCAGTTCCTTGTTTGATTAGGGACGAGAGTGTTGTGGTGATCCCTGGCCTGAAAGCGATTGTGGGCGAGGTGCCGCTTCTTTTGATCCGTATGTTCGCTCATAACAAAGCTCGAATATTGACCAAAGACGCTGACAATCTTGCAGGGGCCTCTAAGTTCCTGGGCCGTGCCTCAGTGATGATTGCAAACTTTCAAGAACCATTGAACCCGTCATTCGGAGACCGAATGATTGGTTCGTTCATGGACGCATGGGTTGAGGACTTCCGTGAGGATTTGCCGCCTCACATCGAGGCAGGCACGTATCCTGTAATTCATCTTGTCTACTGGCACTGCCGGCTGCTAGCATATCTGCTCAACCCATCCGCTAAGTCAGCGGACGCTCTATGGCCCTGCCAAGAAACAATTAGTCTCCTGCTTGGACAGTCGCAGCTCGTCACACCTCTTCACCATCACTTCACAGTACTCACAGTACTGATACTGGTTGAGTTGGCAAAGGTGGACAAGACAAAGGAGGAGGCGACTCGTCTGCTGGGCGACTTTCGAGACTCATCTCTTCCGACATCTGTGTTTGATGGTCTCGTCAGGGACAAGATCGCCGACCACTTGCGGCCATCAACAACCGCAAGTACCACGGCAGCTTCTGTCCCATCGGCAATGGAAACAGCTGCTAGCCAGGGGCTTCAACATTTGGCTGATCTGGCCACTCTTTCCTCGGTAGCTGTGGAAAAGACAGAGGAGCCTCCGGCTTATCGCACGGCTCTGAACTACGCGGATATGGGATTCGATCCCCGGCCTGTACTCCTCACCGGCTACCTTAATGTCGTCCGCGCAGCACAACAGGCAGCTTAGGAGCAAGCTTGTCGCGCCGTGCCGATGGAATGCAACAACCTGGCTGAATATATCGACGCTTGGTTTCAGTGATCCAGGCGAAGGATTGGCGACGAAAACGAACGAAAGAGGTAAGCACCGATGACAGCGCCTCTGCGCCCGAGGCCTGTATCACTGCGGTTTAACACAGGCAATCTGTCCGCGAAGGACGGGAGGATAAGGGGCGACAATCTTGACCGCCTAGGTGGATCGATATTTGTATTAATATAAAAAGTAATGGACAGTGCTTTACTACCGGCTTGAACCTTGCGTTTGTTCTCGTCGTCTCCAGTTGTATACATAAACTATCAAAATGTCACCAGTGAGTGATGTCGCGGGCACACGCGCTTGCCCTCGAAGTCTGGTAGTTGTTCTCCCGTCGCCGACAGTATAGTTGCGTGGTAGCATGCGAAAATACTTCGTGTCCTCAGCGTATCATGTGAAATTATGCATCACGGTCAACAAGTTGGCGGGTAAGTAAGTGGGTGGCCGCGGAGAATTTGACGCGCCAGATGGCAGGGCATATGGGGTCGACCAACAAGGATGCTTCTCGTAGTCTCTGAGACTAGCAAGCAGTGTAGCAACTTTTTGTAAGATATGCCTGGCTCTGGGGTTTGGTTCTCAAGCGCGAAGCTGCTGGTACCAGTTGTGCGGTCTTACTGCACATTCTCAGACGCAGGGCGACATGTGGTGACGGCTTTCATGCGCACACAGCCACATGTGCTATCGACTATTGGAATGCCACGGCCTGATTTCTCATTCCGTCTTATCCGGCCGGCCGTTCAGGTGCCCCTTGGAATCCAGTTTGCAGGGGCGAGAACACTGAGGGGGCATATTCAGAGGCGACGGCAGCGGCTGGAATCAATGGATCGATCGGTGGTCCTTGTCGCTTTGGAGTCATGACTGGGAGCTGTCGTCTTGCGCCTGACGATTTCCAGACTCCAGTGCGGATGCCATGTAGGCGCGATTCAGTCGCCCTGTCGCCGTTGGAGAGTGACCTTGTCAAACGCGACCCGAGTAACGGAGATCAGCTCCTCCAGCGGAGATTTGTACAGCCCCCCTCCCCAGACTCCAGCTCCAGTTGGCTTTCGAACTTGGCCACCATGTCCCTCAACATGGGAGATGCGCCGAGAGCCGCGCCGGGGCTGACAATACTCGATGACACACGCACACACACTACCTAACACCATCACATCATCGTCCCGACAATCAGAAGCCGGGTCACAACAGCAATGAGTAGCAGGCGGCAGACAACACGAGGTTGACAACGGAGCCGGCCTCTATCATCGTTCCCAGCACCAGCGCCAGCGCCAGCACGAGCATTAAACCCAATACCAAGCACACCGCTTGTGTCATTGGCCGCCATCCTGTTCTGATGCTTCTTTCCTTGCTGCTTGAGATCGTAGAGTGCTACGCAAGTAGTATCTCCCACGACAAGACCAGACATCTCCGGATCTCGGAGCAGCAGCGACCATCGTGCACGGACGCATCGGAGGTGGCTGGCAGGAAACGTTGTCAGTGGGGGGGGGAGGGGGAACCGACCGACAGACTGCCACACTCCACTGCCCCCAACTCAACGGAGGGCGCAATGCCGCTGGGTGCCCTGCCAAACCCTGGCGCCCAGGTGCCCTTCCCGCAAGAGGCACTGCTCGCCGTACCTATGGATACAGATGGATACCCACCAAGTACCAAACACACATGCACGGAGCACCCACAGCAACTTACTTGCCTGCCTGCGACCTGCCTGTCTTGTGTACCCGGGTCGGTAGGTAAGGCAAGGTACCTAGGGTAAGGTAGTAAGGTGCGGTATGTGACATGTATTGAGGTAGGTCTTGCGTCTCTCCAGGTTACCGAGACCAGCCCGGCCTCATATCCGACCTTGGAGGACTCCGTCACGGCGGTCTACTCGACAGTGACAGTGACAGTGACAGGACAGCGAGTGACACAGGCTGATGGCGAGGCGACACAAGCCGATGATATGCAGGAACGTGCAGAAACCACCATCCAGAGAGCCCCACGAGGGCCCTAGGTTCGTGAGCCCTAGTCAGTAACCCGCCTGCACTCTATTGCATGCCTTCTCTGACTGTCAAACCCTGCCCTCATGCCTGAGGTAACATCGCCGTTCGACAGCAGTCCTGTCCTGTCGAGTACCTACGAAGAGCTCACGTACGGATACACACCTTGTCTGGCCTTCCCTGTCGCTGTGCATGCGCAGCATCTACCTGGCCGTACGGAGTACACTAGGCAGCTAGGCAGGCAATAGGGTAGCTTTGGCATAGGATGTGATATTCTTTCTTGTCATGTCCTCTAAGCTGCCCTGCTGCACGGGTTGGATCGATTCACCACTGGTCAGAGCCTGCCAGATTGCTCGCAACTCACCGAGATTCACGAGGCCAGCAAACCCTCGTCTAAAACCCCTTGAGCAGCAAGTACAATCCCGCATAACTCAATCGCCGTTGCAGGGCCTTTTATCTGATCAGGTGGGGCTTCATCGAAGCTACGTAGCTTGGTTCATTTCGTTGTTCTGGCGTCTGCCCCTCTCTCATCTCGCTGCAGTCGTCATCCCTCATGTCTCTTTCTTCAACCGCCTGGCATCCCGTCCCGATTAGCGGCCATGGAGCTCTTCTCACAGCCATGTCCTTGAACTGTCACTGTACTAGAGTGTCGATAGCACCAAGATGTCGTCCACGCTGTGTGCGCTCGCGCGCGCCTGTGTCTGTGTATGGATCGCGTTTGCGCCAGTCCTCTCTATGCACTACATTCAAGCCTTTTGAGGATTCTATGTCGCCTAAGCCTTCCTATATACAATCATTCCCTGCGCAATAAGAAAGATACATAACTGTCATTATGAAATGAGACAACCCCTGCTAGACCCGGCTTTTTGACGAGGTTGAGCAGAGGCCGCTGCCGTTCATCATTCATCGATGTCTGTATTCCAATCAACCACGCCTTTAGCCTCAGCAAAATGCTCCCCGTGTGCCAGACGCCATGTCCATTGAAAATGATAATGTCGAGATGTAAGACACCCTCTTTTTTGTGAGCCGGACCCCTTCTTTTTTGTTTTTCAATGCCGAAACCAAGTATAAATAAAATAAGAAAACCCCCGTAGTATGCTGCCAAGATGTATAAGGTGGGGGAAAGGGAAAAGGTTGTGCTACGCCGACTCCCGCGAGAGAGCGAGCGAACTCATGGATGACCACACGATTGCGCCGCCGAGGAGATCCTGTCCCGCCTATGCTCGAATCCCTTGCGCCTGTGCTTGCCGTCTAAATCGTTGGGCCGGATATCATGAGCGTGTACGCTTCGCAACATTGCTCATATCAAAACGCCTTATTGCATTGTCCAAGAATCAGCGTTGAACGCCGGCATGCCGTCGGGTGATTCGGTGTATGTGGCAATGCCGTCGTCGAAGTGTTGGCCCCAGAAGACGGGATCATCATCGAAAGTGACAGAGCCACCAGCAACGGGCCCGCTATCATCAAAGGATGAAGCCGCTCCAATGAACTTGGATGACTTGAGGAAGCTGTTATAGTCAATGGCGGTCAGATCAGTGCCCGTGCCATTTGTGAGGTAGCTGCCACTGGCAGGATGAATGAAACTGTTGCTGCCGGTCCCGTACCCGTCGTAGTCGCTGCTGTCGCCTGGCATGAGGTTATCCTCTACCTCGGATACTTCACCCGACGTCGATGTTGTTGCTGCGAGCGTCGGTGCTGGCTCAGATCCGGTAGGGAAATCGAACATTCCGTTGAAGCTTTGAGCGCCTGCTTGGCTGTAGCTAGAGGGTGCGAACTTGTCCGTCTTGTCAGCCAGATCAATGTGGCTCCAATCCACAGACGCGGTGCTCAGGCCAGCGCTAAAGATGGGCCCATCGCCAGAGCTCCCAAATAGGTCGAAAGTGCCGTTCGGTTGGTATTGCGGGTATTCGATGGCGGACAAGTCCAGGGGTGGGAGTTGGTTGTTGAGCTGCTGGAAGCTGGAAGAGCCTCTCATGAGCGGGGACGCAGCCTCAGATTTGACAAGCCGTTGCTGACGAACAGGACCAGAGCGAGTGGAGGTCGCGTCTTTGAGGCTGTCACCAACACGTTCAGGCGAGTGACTTCCCAGGCTGCTGGTGCTGTGCAGTGAGTTTACACGATTCAGTTGGTACGGCCCGCATTTCTGGGATGCCTTGTTGTGCTTGTGTGCGGGTTTGTGGTGTCCATTCTCATCAAAAGTGAGCATGCCGTCTGAGTGAACAGTATTGGCTCGGCGCCTGCGGATTGGCGGCTTTGGTCGAGGAGCTGTTGCGTCTTTATCGGAGTCGGACTCGGGAACGGTGTCGAGACCAGGCTCCTTTTTGTGGCTGCAAGTGCAACGACCACCATGGTTGCAACAACAAGTCTCTACGTGATGGGGAAAACGAACGAGTTAGATCAGGTTCATTGTGGTAGACCGTATTGTGGAGGACCGCCGTGATGAGCTTGACTTACCTCGGTGGCCCTCAAGAGTCGGCTGCAAGTGAGTACACTTGCTCGTCTTTTCGCCGCAGTCGCATTTAACATGGGCAGCGCGCGACTTGCGCATCGAGCGGCAGTGCTGGCATTGGGAGACGGGGCGTCCCTTTTTGTTGATGTGCTGAAGGGGACGATCTGCAAGCGGCTGGTTAGTCACTCATATTTGGTGTTTTTTGCTAGGCTGAGACTCAATCGCAAAAGTGACAACCAGGACAGCGACAACCATGGTAGAGTCGTGTGGTAGCACAATAACATGAAAGTCGAGACGAAGGTAAAACATGCCGACTTACCGGAGTGTTGGCAGTTGCTAACACGGTGACCCCGAACGCAAGCCTCACAGGCATACTTCTCCCCGTCAATAATCATGACGGGCAACTGCAGCACAAGTCGCGAATAGGTTGGGAGGAAAGAGGGAAAAGAAAATGAACCCAAGTTCCCCGCCACAGGAAAGCGAGAAGGAGGGATCGAGACGATCGGCCAGGCGGTCGGTCGGTGCCAAAAAGAAACACACACACACGCACACGCACACGCACACGCACAAGTACCTAGAGGGTACTGCCGCTGTCTGGTGGGTAGGCGGGCTGGCTGGCAGAATTGGACAGGGCAAGCGGAGCAGACTGGCTGGTTGGCCGGCTGGTTGTTGGTGGTGGTGGCCGGGTCGGCCTGGAAGGTGGGATTTTCTCCCCCCTTCTTCTCCTTGCCCTTGCGTGGAGCGGGAGCTCTTCGGTCTCGTTACAGAATGTTTGGCGTAGGCTGGGGGGGGCCGTGTTAGGCCCTGGAGAGCGATGGCTAAATCAGGGCCGGCCGGTAGCGGAAGGACTTGTCTGCCGTCTCGGGGGCAGCAGGTGGAGGGTGAGTGGAGGGTACTGGGGCTGCCGCTGCCGTTGCCGCTGCTGTGAAATTGTAGGTAGGCAGGTTGTTCAGATCCTTACGAGCCGCAAGGGTGTGAGTGGTGGTATGCGTACTCGTCTCAGCAGGATGTGACGATGAAGAACCAGCAGGACCCAAAGACCCGTCAAGAGGTTACGCCGAGAAGGAGACGGGCTATGAAGGAAGCAACAAACACATAGCCGCGAGGTGTATTTGTTGAAAGACTTCAAGTTCAATCCAACTTGGTGGAACTGAGCAATGCCAGCGGTGCGCCGGAGATTCCAATGAGTGGGTAACTTTAGTTGAGTGGATGTCGGGTGGGGGGTTGATGGCCCGTCGTGTCTTGCCAGACCAAGAGAGAAACAAGTTGGAAAAAGTGAAATAAAGTCAAATGTCCGGTACAAGAGCTCTGACAGTTTGATGATGCTCGGTAGCCCTCTTGCTCTGTCCGCACAGCTGGCTGGCTGGGTTCCAGATTATCGGTGACTATGTCCGATGACAGCCGGGTTTGGCGCCTCTCAGCTTGTCTTTCCAGCCTTCAGTTGGGGGCGAGGGAAAACCTTGATCGGAGGGGTTGGAAGCGATGCAACGGGGCTTGCTTCTCTTTCTGGCTGCCGCCAGTATGAGTATGCAATGGAGAGGCGTCTAGTTGGAAATTGCTGGAGTTAGAAGCTGGAGCTGATGGAGCTCAAGCTGTGACCTTTGTCCCTACTGACACGAATGCTGTAGGTAATACAGACGGGACGTTGAGGGGTGCCGAGGGTGTGCCAAGGTGTGTGAATGCGTAGGTGGTCTGGGTATCTCGAGTAGCTGGCAACTCTGCCTAGCCGACCAGGAATCCGTAGCGTGCTGTTGCTTGGTGCGTACTGCCTGCAACTGCAGGAAAACGGAGACCCTGCAACCTTGACTAGCCTTGGTAAACCGGTGGGTGATGGGTGGGTGGATGAAGACCAAGCAAGTGTTGGAGCTTGGGGCGACGGCGGTTGGTCGGTCGTTTTGTCCTGTCGGTCGTGAAGCCAGAAGGGGACTCTGAGGTCGGCCAAGCGCGCGTTCAGGGTTCGGGGCCAGCTAAGGCACGGCACCAAGTCTGCCAGTGTGGCTGAATGACACCTTGGGCAAGTCACTGTTCTTAATTGGCTGGACAAAAGAGTCGTGGGTGATGACTCGAGGCGGGTGTCGCAGTGTGTGAAAGAGGTGTGCCCTTGTAGCAAGCCCGCCAGGCTTTGCGTCCTCGTCGTTGTCGTCGTTGTCGTTGTCGTCGTCGTCGTCGTCGACGGGAACCGGCCGATGTTGCTCGCGATTGCTGGCGTTGTTGTTGCTGCTGTTGTTGTTGCTGCTGCTGCCGCTACCAAGGATGATTCAAAAGGGAGCAAGCAGGTTCGCCACGTCTTGTCAGTGGTTTGCGAAGAGCAAAGCTATGTCCTGCCTTGGCTTGCCAGTCAAGGAGGAGAGCAATGCGTCTGTCGCCTGACAGAGCAAGAAGCGATATTGCAACTATGGCAAGAGGCAAGAGGCAAGAGGAGGAAAGTGAGATCAATCCAGCGAGCCGTCGCGTCGGGCGGACGTGGGATGCTATTTCAATGCTGCATGTCACAACCAGAATGGAGAGCGACAGGAGAGGAGAGGGCATGGCCATATGACAGGCGCTGCCTGTCAGGTTCTCATGCTGCTGCTTGTCGGTACTCCCGTAGCCGCCCGGCGCTGGCAACGCTGATACATGCACCGCTGCTGGTGCTGATGCTGATGCTGTCTGTCCATCTGCCCGCCATGGTCGGGTTGGCGGCGCCGGAACTTGGCGATGCTGGGTGGTGGGAGTCTTAAGGAATTGGCCGGACCCAAGGAGAAGCTGGCACGGGATAGCATAGCACTGGCCAGCCATGCGAAGAGAAGCGACGGATTGTGGACGGACTTGGGTGTGAAGAAGATGGGATGAGACGGGCACAATGGGATGGATGGAGAGCTACCCTCTTTGGTTCCTTGCGTCTGCTGCTGCTCCTGCTGCGTCTCCTGCGCATATCCTGTGAAATATGGCAGGGTGGTGGGATGGGTAGGCAGGAGGATGCTGCCGCAAGTTACCTTGGGTAGGTACCAGGTCTAAGTGTCCGTAGGGTATGCCCATGGGTGTGGGTGGGTAGGCAGGTGTACCGCAGTACACTACCTACCGTGTGTCCGTGGTGGGAGGTGCACCTGGTGGTGGTGGTGTGTGTGTCCAGTGTGTGTGTGTGTGTGTCCGGGGTGGGGGACACTGGAGGGGATGGAGTGGCCGACAGCAGGCGAAAAGACTGGGTGGGTCTCTCTCTCTCGGTCAACCTGGCTACCTTATGCCCAGCACCACAGCAAGAGCAAGCAGCAGGGCATTCCGAATAGACGACGTGGTGAACTAAACCAGAGACATCCGCAGGGACCCCCAGAGACAGGTCGAAGACATGATGCTCTTCTTGCCAGGCCAGGCCAGGCCAGGGCCGAGGAAATGAGTTGGGAGAAGGCACCCCGAAACGTGCCGAACATGATGCGCCTCGGGCGAGCAGTACGCATCATATACCAGCCTATCCGTACACTACACTACCTTGTCTGTAGGGATTCACTACAGCTCTCGCACAAGTCAGCACCGAGTAGCCGACTGATGAACGGATCCAACCGCCCAGACTGGCGGTCTGCAAACAATGGAAGACCAGTTACCCATTCAACCATAGGTAGGGAGGCCTGGCTAGAATCTTACATGGCTAACTATACTACCTTACGTTTAGCTTCCGACATGTGTGCCGAGAGCGATTCCCAAGATACAATATACAGACAGGCATTTAACGTCACCGAACATGTTGATATGTAACCTCAGCTGATTCCCAACTTCTCATGATAGTCAAGACGACTGCTCAAAGCCAGGTGCCCAGCAACGGGTGTGTATGTTTGTTCTATGCCAGGAGCGAAAACACCGACGCCGAGATGAAGTACGACGGTCGATGCCGATCTACGCGAACGTAGTTGCTGGCAAAACGCACTGATCAATTACATAGTGCAAAAGATTGTGAGAGCAAGGGTTTGGGGGTCGTGATGTGAGGTGTACACGGAAGCGCGGGGGTAAGTTCGAGTCGGAGGGGTTTTAGCAGTGGAACCGTCAAACCAGTGAGCAGTGCGACAAAATTGCAGCTGTCGTCGTTGGGATGGACGAATGGATGGACCATCCGCCAGCGGCGGCCTACAACATATGCAGGCTGTATGACGCCGGATTCAACCCCAGGAATACGACGGAGTGTTGAAAACCTTTCGGTTTTGTGCGGTGAGGAAAGCACAAGGTTGGGCGAGAATCGGTGGTTTGACGCGTTGAAGGATGGAAGAAGAGAGGGAAATTTGATGCGGAAGAGAAAAAGATGAACAAGTCGACAGGAAGGAGGGCGGGGCGGGGCACACCGTTGGGTAAGTAGGTAGGTAAGGTATCCGTAGGTAGGTTGGCGACACTAGGTACCTGGTGTGTGGCAGCGTGAGGGTGGGCTCCGAGGCTCGAGCTCTGGGTCCCGATAAGATAAGGAAATGGAAGGTGCAGTGTGGCGGCGGGTCACGGTGCAGTTTCTTGTTTTCCGTCACCACCCCCACCACGCTAAAGAATCGTCCAGGGGGTGTGGTGTACTACCTAGGTAAGTTATCAGCTGTGAGGTCCCTAAACAGCGAAGCCAGCCGCCCGCCCCCAACAGGTGTTCCGTTCGCTTGCACGCCAAGCCAGCCGTGGGCGGGCAGTCACTCACTTCCCTCTCCTCTGCCCCAACTGCAACTGCAACTGCAACTGCAGCGCGGCGAGTGTGTGCTGTTGATTGGTCGGCTTGCTGGATGGATCGGGTTCTAGAAGGACGCAGGGAAGCCGCTTGGATCGGGCTACCCGGCGGGAGGGTGTGCTCGAAAACCCAATGGCTCGTTTTATTTTCGTTGGCTGCCGCCTGTCCGTCAATTTATCGGAACCGCCTTCCATGCTCTCTGCTCTTCGGTGACGAACTTTCCTTTCCGCAAGGTACTTACCATGCAGTAGGTACGGACGGGATGGATACCTTACGCTTCCCGCTTCCCTTCTGCCCATGGTCGCTGTCTATGGATCCAAGGACTCGATTCCACCTCTGTTGTCCGCGGGGTAATATGCTTCCACCATGCAGTCTCAGCTCTCGGTGTCCGCTTTGGGGTGGTGGCTGGGCATGCGACTGGGGCATCGCTGACCTGAGTGGTACTGCTGAAATGCCCGCTTTGCTCTGCCAACCGCCAGAACCGAGAATACACGTCCATCAGGTAAGCCACTTGGACGACGTGACCATTTGGGCCACAAAACCAGGCTCCCAGGGTACTGCAACGTGCCAGATCAGGACAGGATGTCGTGTCGCGCGCATCCGCAAGGTCCCGATTGCTGATGCTGCCAAAGTAATCCCCCAGACGTCTGAATGGTCCAAGCACATGTAGCAATGCGCCTCGGACGAACTCCAACTCCCCACACAGCCTGGTAGCGATGCTGTCACTGT